CTGCTCAGTCACTCCAGCAGTTGCAAGCTCTGCTTCCAGATGATGAACCATGGTGGGAATTAAGTGTAGCTTGCTAGGAGCAAAAGAGCTGGTATAGTGCACGTCTGCTGGTGACTCTGTTAGATCAGTGGCTTTCAGTCTTACAGACCATTAAACCCCTTTCAGGAGTCTGATTTGTCATGTATTTCATCTTGCTTAAAATCTTCTTGCTTACAAAGCTCTAACACATAAAAAGACGCAAGTGTCACAGCACACTGTTACCAAAAATGGCTTACAATTATATGACAAAAATGAGAAAGTCCACTCCCGGCCCCAGTTTCCAGAACAGGTCCCAGCCACAGGAGCAGGCCAGATGGCCACTAGTTGAGAACTGTACCCCTAGTTGAGAACCAGGGTGTTAAGATAAGGCAAAAATGTTAGTTAATCGTTTAACATATGCTAAACAGTGATGGCTACATTTTATTCTTTTTTTAAATGTACAGTGAATATTCAATCAGATGCTGTCTTTAAAATGAGTTAGCTTGTTGCCGTTGTTGCTTTTCCTTTTTTAAAGTATTATGACCCAAATGTTGCAGCCCTGGTGGCCACATTGGCAGCTTGCCTAAAGTCCCTGGTCCATGGTTTAATTTACTTTCAAAACCAATGTAACGTTTGCTTGTACTTTCATTTTCCATGGCATAAAATTAGAAATTGCTTGTTGGTTGAGTTCACCATCAGCAAAAACCTACAGTTGATCAGCTTTATCACTGGCCTACAGTTTAAATAAAATTATCCCCTTTAACAAGTCTAAAAATGGGGCATAGTGCAGTGGGTTGAGTTGAGGGCTGCTTCTTGGGACATCTGGATTCCACTCCCTATGAATTCCATTCTAATCTAAATCTGTACCTCCGTTTCCATATCTGTAACGATACCTTCCCTGTTTGTTCAGTGATTTGAATTGCTCCTCTCACAGGTCCTATGAATAGGGTTGCCAGGTGTCCGGTATTCACCCAGACAGTCTGGTATTTTCATTTCCAGTCCGATAAAAAAAATTCAGAAAATATCGGACACCTAAGATGTCCAGTATTCTCTGAATTTTTTTTCCTCGCCAGGAGGCGAAAATGCTGGACACCTGACAACCCTGAAACAGTCAGCGCCTGGCCTCCCCGCCCCAAGTACCCCGTAGTCTTCCGACCCCATGCTTACCTGGTTCTGCAAGACTGCTGGCACAAAATGGCTGCTGGCAAAAAGACCAAGGGGAAGCAATGATTCCCCTGGGTCTTAGTGCTCAACCGCGCCTCTGTTCTAGCCCTGCACACACTCTTAAAGGGGACATGCTGTTTTATTTTAATTTTTTATTTTTTTTTTCTTCAACTTTGGTTTCCCCCCCCCCCCCCCTTTTTTTTTCTTCAACAGAATTTTTCCTGGTATTTTTTGGGGGGGAGGATGGGGGCGGGTGTTCGGTATTTTTGTTTCAACCGTCTGGCAACCCTACCTATGAAACTGCAAACTGATTTTAAAATCTCATTTTTGAATATAAATCTCTCATGACTGATAAAGCAATGTATTTAAATCCTGGCGTACTCATTAGAAAAGCAATAGCCTGCATGTATATGATAAAGAATGTAAAGGATAATTAAAATGCCTTCTTTCTCTGCGTCACAGTGAAAGAAAAATGTCATGCGGAGCCATGCTGTGCATCAGTTGCTCTGAAAGCACAGTGTTATTCCACACATTATTAATGTTGAAAATTACTTTAATTGCATTATTTAAATTACTCTAACAGCCCTACATTACAAGAACATTCAGGTTACAAGGCCAAGTTCTGAAAAGTTAGGAAATCCCAGAATTAGAGTCTCTGGGCCATCTTAATTCATTTGTGCATCTTGACATCACCTTTAGTTGCATTATGTAATCATAATGGGGCCCTCCTTCCCTGGAATCCTGCCTCATTCATTGAATGGGTAGTTATTTAACATTTCCTAACATCTGACATTTCATATCATCTACGTTTTAATGTGTGGCACCAGACCGTATTTATGCCGTACCATCCACACACAGACCTGAATACAAAATTATGAATACCCCTTTTTATTATGGGAATTTCACCATGGTATATGGCGCATCACAGACACTGATACATTCATCATAACATCCCTGTGACAATAAGTGGTATTACCGTCCCCATTTTTACAGCTTGGGATTAAGAGCAAAATTGTTAAGCATCACTAGTTTTGGTTACCTAATTTAAGATACCTGGAGCCTGACCTTTTCAAAGTACTTAGCATTATATAGCCCTTCAAATGTTTTGGAGAAGAGCTTTAATCCATTTGTTACAGCTCTGAGCATTTATCATTTTGGCAAATCTGGCTCCAGCTGTCTCCAGTCCCAGAAAATGAGGAACACAAATTTTTGTTAGCCATAGAAACTCTGTGGCAAAGGCAGGGCAGAATCAGATTCTTAGGATGACATTCCAGGAGACCATCCTTTCTTTACCTGCATTTCCTTGCCACCTTCTCTGCTTGACTTGCAATGCTGCAATAAATGAAGGCAGGGGTCTGACAGATGACAACATTGTCTTTTACTGCACAATCCTGATTCATCCCCAAAGTAGGCCCAGCCTATAGAAAAAATAGTTTAGGACCATAAAATTAAAGACTGTCAGAATTTATCCACACAGGGGACTGACCTAAAGTTGCCCAGAAAACCTTAATTTGGGCAGTTCCCAACCTTTGAATGCATGAATGTGCAACTGTATCATTCTTTTAACATAGCTAACAAAATTACATTTAAAAAAACTAACTTCTTTCCCCCTGGAATAAATATTCTATCAGGCGCCCACCACCACTCAGCTTGGGTCATCAGCGGCGTTCAGACCTGTAGATTCATAGCAAAGACTTCTTCTCCACGAACTAATGGAGTGACTGGCAGTAGCAAGACTAAAAAAGATGGTTTAATAGGTGATGAGCTTTCATGGGCCAGACCATGAAAAAACTTAGCAAGTGAGTTTTACCGCTATTTGCTGACAGCAGATGAAAGTTAAAATTAGGGATGTAAAATCCTGTTTAATCAGTTAATGGTTAAATGTTGTGGTTAACAAGTTAACTGTTGAAACAGGGGTAGTTGCTTCAGCCTGACAGACACCCAGCTGGAAATTTTTTTAGCCTCAACAGTTAACATTTTGACTACATTTATATGTAAATAAAATGTGGGGAAAACTTCATTAGAGGTGGTGCTACCAGTTTTGCCTATAATCTGAAAAATCAGACAAGAGATTGACTTGAAGGTTCCCCGTTTGGGTTTGTGTGAAACCTGAACTCAGATCTTGATTGGAATTTCATGTTGCTCCAAGCTACAGTTGTTGTGGGTTTTCATACCCATTGCTTCATATTTTAGGGCTATCACTACTGATATCCTCTGAGATCAAGCAATGGATAAAAACGATTAAACTGCTTTAGACCAACTCTGTAAAAATGGCTTATACGTAAAAAATATTTTTATTGTCCTCCCTATTTTCCAGTCTTTCCATCCAGCATTCAGTCTCCTGGCCAATTCTGCAGTAGAGCCTAGTTAAATGAGCTTTATAGAAGAGAGGCAAATTAGGACAAAAAGGTGATGAAAACCTTTTGTTTAGTAATGGCCAAACAAATGTAGTGACTCTACCCATGTTGTGCATATTCCATGGACTGAGTGCTCTGTTTCCAGCTGAATCAGATGCCAACAACTTGTTGCAGCACACATTGTTCTGTAAATAGGCAACAGTTGCTTCTTTCAGAACACTCTAAGATGTTCTGCCTAAATTTCAATTCCTGATTGACTTAATTGCTGACGCTTTTGTTGTGAACAAAGCAAATATAATCCCCACAATGGATTGGAAGGAAGAGAAATGGAAACTTGAGTCTCATCAAGTTGACATAACTGGTTTTCTCTTAACACTTTGTGCATTGTTGTTCCAGAGTGTAGAGATGCCTGAGGAGATGTGGATGACAGATAGCAGATTAAAAAATCACAATTAGGAAAAACTATCTTGGCCTAAAATTGAATAATGGTGATCTAAACTGCATTTTAACTAGTCCTGTGTGGAATATATAAGCAGTTCTATGGGGCTTGATAAAGTCTTGAACATTTTTAACTAAACAAGATGCAAAGACTTATAAAATAATGCCACAGACATTTAATCTTGCATATATCAACTTATGTATTTTTATGAGGCTCACATGATGCCATACTAACAGTATTTCAGGAATGTAACTTTGTGAATCTGAGTGAAAATTACTAATGAGAGCTTTAAAACTTCTTGATATTCAAAATATTAGATGAGCCTCAACCACAGCTGCATGCTTGACTACCTTGAATTTGATGTAAGATATGATCCAGATTTGAATTGTTTGACTTTAGTGAATCTGTGATGCTAACAGTTTTGCATCACTTGTGTCTCCTCCCAGCAGTTATGAGTGGACGCTAAAAGGCTGGGACAGCTTGGAAAAGCTGACTCGGCAGAAGGTGGGAGCAGCCAATGCCAATATTAATATTCTTTCAGAACTGATGGATGAGAGGATTCTAAAATTGCAGAGAGAAGGGAAACACAACAGGATTCAGGTTTTAATTGCATTGAGGATTTTTTCAGTGGTCTTGCTCATAGATACAGCACAGATGAGCATTTCTTGTACAGATATTGCTGCAGATTGTGTAAAATATATCACACTCTCGCCCTCCCTCCAAAAGTTGATTTTCATGCCACTTTGTTCTTCCTTCTGGTACTTTTGGTTTCACTTGGTTGCAATATGCAGTCACATACTCCATTGTGATGGCAAATCAGCTCAAACACTGTCCCTTTGCAGCAAGAGGAAGGAAGAATAAATGGTCCAGGAGATGGAACTAGATGACTTCACAAGGTCCCTTCCAATGCTATGATTCTCCAGCAAGCATCTCTAGCTACCCAAGTCTCCAGCATCTGCTTAGGTCCTAAACATAGCTGTGGTAAGTACCCTCAGATTCTACTGAGCAGTCTGACAGACACTGAGGGTGCTCACTACCTTGAGAAATCTGGGCTGCTAGTGATTGATAGTTGAAATGCCCTTCCCCCATTCCAGCTGCCAAACTCCCCCCACAAAATTGCCTGTAACTTTTAGCAGCAATGCATCTACTTGATAGTCTGGTACTCTCTGAGCAGCACCTCTAAAGTGATACTTTGTCTTCTACTAAAACTTGCTGTGTCTAAGCTTATATCCAACCCACCACTGACTGTTTTTGCTGCCCTCCTCACCATTCATAAAATAAAATGGCCACAGTACATGCTAATGTAGGACACTTCCCTGGACTGTTGTCCATGGGCTTGATCCAGTTTCCAGTGAAGTCGGTGGAAAGACTTTAGTGGACATTAGGGTTGCCAGGTGTCTGGTATTCACCCTCACAGTCCGGTATTTTCACCTCCTATCCAGTAAAAAAAAAAATGCAGAGAATACCAGACACCGGAGATGTCCGGTATTCTCTGAATTTTTCCCTGGCCAGGAGGCGAAAATGCCGGGCACCTGGCAACCCTACAAACACTCAGCGCCTGGCCTCCCCCCCAGCCCTCCAACTCCAGCCCCCATGCTTACCTGCTTCCGCAAGGGTGCCAGCACAAAATGGCTGTGGACCAAGGGGAAGCTTCCCCTGGGTCTTAGTGCTCAACCGCTCCCCTGTTCCTATTCCTGCACTCACTCTTAAAGGGGACATGCTGTTTGTTTTCAAATTTTTTTTTGCTCAACAACTTTGGTCTCCCCCTTCTCCCTCCTCCCAACAGAATTTTTTCCTGGTGTTTTTTTTTGGGGGGGGGAGAGGGAGTGCGTCAGTATTTTTGTTTCAACCATCTGGCAACCCTAGTGGACATCAGAGCAAGCATTGCACAAGCTACATCAGTGGTCTTCAACCTTTTTACACCCAAGATCACATTTTTAAATCTCAGAACAGGCGAAGATCTACCGCCCCGCCCCTTCCTTGAAGCACTGCCTTCTCTATTCTCCTCCTGTCCATCACTTGCTATCCCCAGCCCTTACTTACACACTCTGATAAACAGTTTATTTTTAAATTATGTGATATATAAAATTAAAATCAGGTGTTTATAGTTATGAAATAAATGGTCTGTTTTTTATTCATGCCATTTAAATCTAAAATGAAGCATTTATAATTATACATTTTGTGGGGACAGAGTTCTGTGGCTGGGGTGCGGGGAACAGAGAGTGGGGTGCCAGTGGAGGCAGAGAGTCCCCTGCATCTGCCTCCTCCCAGGATTCTCCCCCTCCCCCTCCGAGGGAAACCAGTGTGCGCCTGCCCCCGCCACCACGCAGGGAAGCCCTGCATGTGCGCGCCTGCCCTGGGGCCGACCCCCCACCCCCACGCAGGGAAGCCCCACACGCGCGCCTGCCCCGTGGCCAACCCTCCCCGCGCACGCCTCCCCCACGGCTGACTCACCCCTCCTGTGCGGTGCAGGGAGCCGATGCTCCCTCCCGCAGTACACCCGGCAGAGCAGCTAGCGTACTTCTGGAATCGCTGGAAGTGGCGCTAAGCTGCGGGATTTCTGTCCATACCCGGGAAGCTGACACTACCTTCATTTTCACTTGAGGTAGGTATTGCATCTTCTCGGGGGTGGGAGGGAAATGGGGGCGGGGCAGCCTCGCGATTGACCGGTCAAGACCTCACGATCGACCAGTCGATTGCAATCGACCTGTTAATGACCACAGAGCTAGAGTTTTAGTGACTAGGCCCTGCAAATGGGAAACAAATGCTACCCAAAGGCTGTCTGGTTTAAAAAAATGTCATCTGTGATAGAACTCTGTTTTGCTTCTTCTCCCAACTCTGAGTAATTTCAGTACAAACACTGGCATTAGAAAAAAATCACTTCAGGCTTACTCCCCCACTCCCACTAACTCAAACAGGTGCAAGAAATTCAAATTTGGCATCTGGCTAGTCCTCTTTCTAAGATTCATTCCTAGTTAAAGACCCAATCTTGCAAGGTGATGAGCTCTCATTAACTGCAATGGAAGTTACGAGTTCTCACTTTTGGGGGAGAAGAGCCACATGCAGCTCACGAGCTGCGGGTTGGCCACCCTGGCATAGTATGTCAATGATGTAGGAAGTTATGAACCATTCACTCCCTTCTAAAAGATAATCTACTTTTGATAAATTAAACTCTATTTTCCCAACACTAGAAGTGTATTTTCTTATTTTTGCTATAGCAGTTAATTGCCATTAAAAGTCAATGGTTGGATTTTCGAAGTTGCTGTTCTCCTGTGGCTCCTGTGAACTTCAGGGGGAGCAGGGATTGCTTAGCACTTTAGAGAATAAAGTGACAGGTATAAGGTAGCATGTAGCTGTAGCACATTTTTTTTCAGTGTGTAGAGCTCTGGATATAAGTGTGTGGTCCTGACAAATGACAATCTTTTTAATGGCAACCACCGTGTTTGCAGAGTTACTAATGCTATATTTTGTAGCTAATTAAAATGTACAATGAATGGTGTATAATAAAGGGCAAATTGCTCAGGCATATGAAAAGTTGAAAATCACGGGCCTAAAGAGTTGAGGATGGCTCTTCTGATCATTCTCTGGGCCTCAAGGCATGCAAAAGTAGTGAGGAGATGATGCAGCCTCTGGCCAGCAGGGCTGAATGGATGCACAGGATAGAGTCTGCTCTAGTCCCTGAAAAGCTGCACATGTAGGAAAATTCTCTCTGGGGGCCATGTAGCAGCACTACACTTCCCTAGCACAAGGCTGTGACTAAGTGTTATGAGTAGGTAAGTGTCACGTGCACAATATCTATTTATTATAACATGGGTAATGACGACTTGAACTTTTGAACCAATTCATGGAGTTGTGGCAATTCAGCTGAACTTGAAATTCTGCTCCACACATACAAAGAAGCAGCCAAGAGGGCTCGGTCTGTAGGGGTAGTCCTTACTACACTATGCAGACACAGGTGGACAACAGGAACGCCAGGATTGCCATTCCTACACAGACAAAAACCATAGCCCATCTTAATACCTGTGAGATTTCAATAAAAAAAAATTGGTTCTTGTCTTTTGTGTGTTGAGCTTTAGGATGCAGTTGGGACATGTTTTCAAGTTCTTCTATGCAATGATCATGACTAGAAATTTGTTTTTAAATGAAGGCTCTGTAATCGGTTGGATCCAGAAGCTGGAGTTTTAAGCATTATGTCTAATTCTCGGAGAGTCTGCAACGCTGGAAAGAGCAGCTCCAGTGAATGTCTCATTTTGGACAATACAATAGTCTGCATTACCATAGATTAGTTTTTGTTGAAATGACTTTGAGCAGAATTTCACTATAACAGAAACAGGAAGGTGGTTAGTATCATTGTCCCCATTTTACAGATGGATGGACTGAGACGCAAAGAGGGAAAGTAACTTGGCCAAGGTCACTTACCAGGCCAGTGACAAAATTGGGAGTGGAATCACATCTCCTGAGCTCCAGTCCAGTCCTTCATTGTTAGGCCACATAACTTATTAAAGGTACGTTCTGGGAGAGACAAAGCTATTTTATCTGAAACCACTCCCATTTCATTTCATCATAATGTTTCCAATATCTATGGGATCATTTTCACTAATGGTGGTAAGTCAACCAACATTCCACTGCTCCAGCTACGTGAATAACTTATCTGGAGTTGACTTCTAGTTTAGGTCAACTTATCCCGGTGTCTTCCCAGTGCTGAATTGATGGGAGATGCTCTCTGGTCAACTTCCCTTAAGCTTCTCGGAGAACTGAAGTCCCAGGGTTGACCAGAAAGTGGTCTGTCACTAGTGAGTCTTCACTAGACCTATTTAATTGATCTCACGGTTAATTTCCTGGATAGTGGCAACAAAGCCCTAAGAGTTTCTTTTTGTGAGGACATGAAGGCATGGAAGGACCCATCATCAGTCATTCATACGGCACTTATCTTGGCTTGATAAATTGATTTGTTTAGTAGACTTTTGTTGACAGTTTAATTATCTGAGCAAGGTGACTTGAGGCTCATATAGGAGTTTCTACACATACCCCTTCACAGTCTATTGGCATATTATTTCCTAGAAGATACTTGAATAGAGGCCAAGCTGGATATTTGCATTAGTAGAGGCGTTATATTCAGATTTGTTTTCATTGAAGGCCCAGAGAAAACTGTGACCAGTTAAAAAATGTATGCAATTTACTAGGCATGCTCTTCTAGTTATCGTTGTCTGTGAATCTTGCAGAGGTGGAGAAAAGTGTTAACTGCATTACACTTTATATCCATTACAGTGAATAAGAAATGAGGTTAGCTATTGTACCAGGATTATTTCACTTCATGCAAATGCTCAGATGTCTCAGCATGCAATTGGTTGATGCCTGTTGATCAGTAATGAAGTCACCTGCCTGTTTGAGACCTAAAAACCGAGAGTATTTTCTTATTTTGGAATGGATTTCCATTATTTTCAATATTCTGTGAACTTCCAAAGGAAAGTTGACAAATGTCATACCTAGCAGCCAGGCTCCTTGCTTTAGGACTGATGGTTCTCAATGTTTGCTATGGATGTAATAGGTTAATTTTTTTCAGATGAAAGTGGGATTTTTTGAATATGGAAATACCTCCCATCTACCCCCAAAATATATTTTTTGAAATTTCTAATTTGTTAAATAAAAAGTAAAACACTTTGTTTTACTACCTCTGCTCTGTCTACCTCAGTCTGCATCCTTTTGGATGGCAATATTGGGTGTGGAAGAATAAACTGGGAAAAAGGAAATGCCAGTTTCTTAACATTTTCAGTAAAACATTCATGAAATGTTTTCAAATTTTGTTCTGTTCGGTTTTTGTTTTGTTTGACCAGCTCTCATAATGAATAACTTCTGATGTTGTTTAAACAACTGGTGTGTTTCTTACCCTAGCTTCAGGGGAATTACATTGGTATGAATGAAAAATAAAGCCCAATATTCTTTTAAATGATCATAGAAATTACAAATGCACTAACAGGCAT